TTGAGTTCAAGCTAACAAAAACATATAGCAACAGCACATATGAGTGCCTGATATGGAGTGTATATGCGTGAGCGAGTGAGAGATCTGTAGGACCTTTCTGAATGAGGTTATAGAAAATTTTCAAGTTTCTGGGCATACGAAACTTTTTACCGTTTCAGACTTGAGGGTGTATCGAAGCTGGTGCAAAAGCATAAACGCCTTCTTAAAGAGCTTGCATTGCTCTATCGAACGGTATCCTGACGTCTATTCAGAATAAGAAACGTTACGCTTATTATGACAAAAACTCAAAAATGAAAAGACGCATGGGACAACCTAATACATTGTTTGCCCAAAAAGGCACGAAAATGAGAAAGCTTACATTGCAAGCATAAAACGCAAACAGCAACACTCAAACAGATCGTCTCGCTTTTGAATGTTTCAATCGAGACATAAGTGTTAATTCCAGATCATCAATGTTTTCTCGACCTATCAGATGGATTACGACTGTCTTGGAGCAAGAAACAATGGATGACACGTGCTGGAGGTAAGTAAAATTGGTTGGATTTTTTGTACCTGCTTTCAAGTTTGCTTCTCAATGCACTTCGCACTATAGTCTCAGTAAATGGGTACATTCTAAGCTGTCTCTCACGTGAATTGTTGCATGATAAACTCAGCAATACAGGAACGGGATGGGCGAGTGCTAGGGTCCTCCCAAGGGTATCGGGTAATTCTTTGAACGTTTCCATTCAATTTGATTCCAAAATCTGAAACGAAGAGCAGGAGATGAACGTCAGCGCCAAGCAAAGAGCTTTTGAATATGTTTATTTGCAACACTTTATAGCTTTTCGAAATTACCAATTTTCGTTACCACTTTGGGAGGCTTTCGACAGTAGTGAATAAATTTGAACTTGTACCGAAATAAGCGCATTGAGCCGTGCCTTCGGAAGATCCTGTCCCCTTGGCCCTCACCACCGGTTTGCTTTTCAAGTTGCATGTCCGTAAAGTTGACATAATCACGGGTAATGCGATCTTTTGCAATATTGGGTGAGTCTCTTCCTGCTTCTTCCTAGTCGATTTGTAGGGGATGGTAGCCATCTGGTGCGGGGTTATGTCTTCGGACGCCAGCTAGGCTGTCTTCCCTTCGTGGAAGCACATTATGCAAAATCTGCAAATATTTTTCACTTGTTGTGAATGTTTGACAAATTCAAAAAAGTGATGGAGCTAATCAAAACCGATATGACAATTCGTTCAGTACGAATGGACTCCAGTTCAATGCGATTCATGAGGATCTGGAATCGCTGCGCGAATAGTCCAAATGTGGATTCAATCAACCGTCACGCGCTAGTTGAATCTGCCCATCAACAGCATGTCGGTATCATGAGAAAGTGGCTACTTTACCGGCACATTTTGTTGTTAAACCTTTTCCTATCAGGTGTTTTCGCCTTTTCTCTGTACGGCCTCACGAATCTTTGGCTTTGTCCAAACCCACCATCGACGAGAAAGTGGTATTGGGCTAACTGTGCCTAGCTCCCTGGTTGATGGGCAAATAGCGTCATTCTCATCCAAAAATTTCTAGATATGATACATTATTATGCAGTTTTTCTTTTAAAGATCGACCTTGATAAAGGATGACCGGTAAACTCCGGCATCTCCATTACAACCAGGTGATCCGACATCATACATTATGATGCGTTAGTCGCAATCACAGAACGCAAGCAGGACAATAGAGTAGGTTCAGGTAGTTCCAGAAGCTATTACCCGAGTGCGCAGGTTTCTAAAGTGCTGTCTCTCACTTTTTAGAGGTTTGCATTTCTAGCAGACCCTAATATTGATGTGCTTGCCATACATGAGCCCCAGCTTCGAGGGTAGTCGTACCTCTCCTGGGTTTTTTTCGCCACCTCTTCCAGCATCTCGAGCGTCAAACGGGGGAATGCATCGTTATGCAGTCCTGAATCAGACGCTTTAAGCTTGATGCTAATTGTGTCTTGGTGTTCTACCGCTCATAATAACTTCAGCTACTTCCTCCACCATGAGACCGTTTCTATCCCAAGCCCCATATCCAATGCGAAGGCAGAGAATGATGCCTTGAGTGACGATTTTTAATACTGCACCTTCATATGCACACTTTATGTAGCTGCCATCTATCACATCAAATAAATCATGAGCCGACAATGGGTCCAGCATGGCAAAGGGCGTGCTCAAGTCTGTTTCTGATTTTCTCGTACAGGTCCTCGCGTACCCTTCGGGTCTGCCTGTGACTAGATACTCGTCAAAATGATGGAAGCGAGGAGATAGAAATGGACGATGTACTTGTCGCACTATTCCCTAGTGGAGGAAGATACGTTAAAGGCACTTGCCAAATTCTTCAGCGCTTGATGTAGATTCGAATATTGCTGATGTGTCATGATGCAACTTTCAGATAAAAAATTTCTGCGTGTACGATAAAATGCTTCTGTCGTCTTGAAAAGGTGTTCATCCAACTATTTCTGAGAAACTAGTAAGGAAGGAAGTGTACATACACAAATTATTATTGAATGTTAGTTATTTGAGTTGTGAGCATCAAACTTCAATGGCGTGTATTTACCAATATCTTCATAGAAGACAACAAAACTTTTGAGCTCTTCATAAAAACAACAACAACGCATAATTTTGAAAGCGAAAGACTTCAACTTTTTAAAGACTATGCAAGGCAGGTAGAATCAGAAAAAAATTGTTGAAGTGATGATTCCTGCAAGCACTATGATACGTAAACGATATGAGGGCCATGCAAGCATATTTAAAGTACTCTTCAAAAGTTTCCGTATGCTATGAAAACGGTACAAAAATAGCAGTAGGGCGGTTTTGCGGGATCAAAGTAATATCAAGCTTACGAGCATTCAGTAGGCGAACCATGAGGCATAGTGTCATCCCTCAGCAGAACTGTCATATTTGATTGATTTTTTTGCCTTTCGTTCTGTCATCCCTGATAGTGTATCCGAAACAAAATCTCCTAAAAGTAGTCAATTAGTGTAGTGTAAATCAGTGCCTAAAACACTTCACCGATATGTCTGTATCTGCTAGTTGATGAATGGATCGCCTCCAAATGACTTTTCACTGCATCCGCAGCTTCTTGCACAGCGGATATGCTTAAATGCTAAGAAATAGTTTAAAGTAAGCAAATGTTGACACCTTACCTTCTTCAAGACGGGCCTTTTTGGCCGTTTTGGTTTTCTTGACTACTTGTCTCTTCCCTAAACTTCCCACGTTTCTTGCCGGTGTCATCCGCAGAAGAGTTCGCGACGTTGGTGGTTCTTCGAAGTCTCTCGGCGGCGGTGGTCAAAACTTGATGACTTTTGCAGGAACTTCGAAGGTAGCTGTTTCAACCGTTTTCATCATTGAGGATATCGATATCCCCATCTTCATCGCTATATTGGAGATTGGAAAAACTGACTCTAAAAAGAAACAATGCTCTACTTTGAAGTTAAAAGGTAAAACTGTGCCCTTTCAATCGTCTCCACATATCATAGTTTTATCCCTATTCCACTTGCTTCTGACGCTGACGATCCACTGTGCGAGATTCTGTATCGTTTATACGCGTCGCGCATTAGCTTCCACATGTTCTTCACATATAATACTGAAATATTTCTTACAACTGTAAGTCCGTTATGCATTCAAAGTCAGTACTTAAGATGCTGTGTTAATTTGTCCATGATGCGATCCCATGCGTCCGCCTTTTTGTCTCTCATGCGATAATCTTCGCGTGTACGGTCCCGGAGACACGGCTCGTCTTTCATGAGAGAAGCGGGAGTTTCGCGAAATTTAATGGGCATCTTCCTAAATCAAGCATTCATATTGTTATAGATGAGAACGGTGTATTACAAATTGAGCGGAAAGGAAACAAAACATTTTTGCATGAATCTGAACACAAAACAAAGACCGGTAGAAGAACGAGTTTGTGAGTAACTCGTTGATATCAGCTAGCTCCGCTTCGTAGAGAAAGATCGATTGAAAGGAAAAATTTTTTGGTGATGATTACATCAGCAGCATTGTATAACAGAAACAAAATCGGAAGCCTGGTCAAACAAATTGTATTTACAAAGGAGTCGCTTACTGCAACAACATAGAGGAGAAGAGCAAAGAAACAAAGACAAAAGGTTGAAAAAACGCTGCGAGCATCCCGTTGGTGCTTTCAAGTCAATCCTAGTCGCCTCACGGACAAAATCTAACCCGGTGCGCTTTGGCAGCAGTAGCGGCAACCGGCGGTCTGGAGGCTCCCTTAGGCCCCGGGCAGACTTCACGCGATTTGATCTTCGCGACTGAATCGCGAGGAGACAACATCATTCCATGCTGATCAACTTTCATTCGGTTGTGATACTTTTCCAGCGCGACCAGTCGCTGACCGGTTTTTCCTAGGGCATACTTCTACAGCAGTAATCGCCGCGACTTCGAAAAACCCAGCGATTTGTCGGCGACTGCGCTGCACAATGCGAATTCGAGCATTGCGAAGTATATACAAGTTTTTTGTGAATATGCATTGTTATTTTAGCCTCTGTGGTTTGCAAAAGAGAAGAACTTAATTCTGAAAAAGTTCTGATTCCTTTTTGAATGTTTTCGTCAGTTTTTTTATCATTTGTGTTGTTAGTCTAATTTCCGTCATTTCTTTTGTGTTTTTAGCCTAATTTCCGTCATTTCTTTTGTATTGTTAGTCTAATCTCCGTTGTTCCTTTTAAAGCTCCATAATTCGGTTCTTTCCGTTTCAGTGATGTTTTCAGTTGCATGACGACCTCGTGCGTGTAGTTGAAGAAAAAAGCAAACATGGAGAAAAGAAGTCATGCTGTCTGCCGTTTGTGAGCTGAAATATATCAGGAAACGGGGCGATGAAACGCCCGGTGCAGGAGTCACTGACAGGGTGCAAAGAGGCATTTAAAAGTAAATTCAAATTATTTGCTTTACAATCCTTGAGTACTGTGTCCAGATATAAATCAAAGGAAAGGTTTATCCAACTCGGTCTGTTTGAAGCGGAACGTCGATGGGCATCAGCTATGTCCGATAAAATAGAAATGGAAGACAATCCGGACAAGATGCTTAAGCAAATGTCTATGCGCATGCATTTAAAGCGTTCTGTTTTCCATGCAGCTGCTCTTGAACAACTCGTACGAAATTCCTCTCGGGTAGGTCTAGGAATTGAATTACAACCTTATTGTTCTTCAGTTGATCATTGTAGTGCGATGCTTCAACTAAGCTTGAAACCCAAGCTTACATTGCCTGGCTGGCCGGCGTATGTGTTTTCGAGATGCGCAGATGGCCTGAAGCCTGTGAGCTGCTCAAAAAGCGAGGAAGGTTTATGAGCGATTAGCCGAGCCTACACATAATACTACACTCGCGAATCTGTACAAAGCGAGGTGAGGAGGGCTTGACCTTCTTTGGGAAATTCATAATTATGATCATGCTTTATTTGTTTCATATTGTATTAAATATGGTGTCTATACGTAGGTTGGCACCACAGTCCAATAAGAATCTACCGGAATACCTACAGAATCCTTACAATAATTTCATCAACCTTTTTCCTTGACAGTGTAGCATTTGCTTGTTGAAATAAGTTCGCGACTTACTATTATAAATATTCTTTTCATTACGATAGGATGGCATTCAGTTGTTTTATTAGGTTGAACACTGAGTTTTGCAACTGGTCTCATAACTTCCCTCTCACTCAACATGGCGCACTCAAATTTTGCCACTGCGTTGGTATGACGTAAGCTACAAGCGCAGCTGCTGTCTTATCAAATTTTGATGTCGCAGTGAGGGTTACGGTAGGTGCATGGTATGAAGGGGAAAAATTCAAAGTTTGACGGACTTGGCTGAAACTTGGCACAGGGGTGTTATCCGACATGCTGATCACGAAAACGATAGTGAAATTGTGTGATAAGGGCTTTTTTTGTAGGATTACTGTAGGTGTACGATATGGGGTCTCACCCTAAACAAGGAAAATGGCGTTGATTCAACAAATGAATGTGATATTCGCGTTTGGCAGGTCAAATAACCTTACTATGCAAAGTCTCGGCGGAATTTGAGCCTCGGACTCTTTAGTCATTGACGGTCGTCCCCAGCAGCTCTTGTGTACATCGACTCGTTCGACTTTATGAGGACGCCAAATCCCGATATGTCATTAAATTTTGTTTCTTTCTTAATAGACCAAAGGCGTCAACCTCCATCAATAATTTATAGACGAAGCCGGATTTCTGTGCATGATCTAGACTGCCAAAGGCTTCATTTTAGCTTTAAACCCCAAAAATTCTCAAATTTCACTAGTTTTCGAAAAACGCCGGAAACTTCTCTATTTCGTGTTCGAAATTCAGACAATTTGTGCTCGCTTGTAGCTCACATTGCATTCTACATAATGCCAAAGTTTGAGTGTGCCATGTTGATTGAGAGTGAAGTTATGAAACAAGTTGCAAAACTTAGTGTTCAACCTAATATTTCCTGCTTAATTTGGGATGTAAAAGTACCTTCCATTCTGCAGGTGTCGCGAGATTCAACCGCAGATTCGACTCTGCGAATTCAGTTGCGCTGAGGCAACTGCCAAACCTTTGAATGGTATGATGAATAAGTTGATGGAAATACGTGCTCAAGACACTGACAGTGAAGCTGTGGATGTGAGCAATAGTAGCCTTAGGAAAAATAGCATTTTGACAGCTTATGTTTTAGCGTCTTATCGCTGAGATGAGATCGAAGGCGTCATGCGATGATGCAGTCATTGTCAAGTGGGGTGTATTCAAATCAACTGTTGAGGATGACAAAGCGCGTCAAGTAGTGCAAGGTTGGCAACAGGTTCAGAATGAACTGGCAAAATGCCAGACATCGAAAGAGAAGATAATGTCGACTAAAAAGCAGTGGTCAACAGTTCACATAGCTAGCCCGTTCTAGATGGCTCTTTATGAGAAGCAGCTGACCGACACAGGAGATGCTCTCGAGCGAATTTCCGATTTGATTCGCAGAAAAACATCGGATAACGCCGACTCTACGGTGGGTTACTTCACCTTTGTGAAGCAATAGAAAGTTTAGTATGAATAAGGTGTTACGGTATCCGATAAGAACTAAGGTTTGACTGTTATCGAAGCATAGTTGTAGAAGGTTTATTTTAGGTTCTGCAATCAATCAAGTCTTATCTGGAATTTTTAAAAACGCTTGGGACCTTCGCGTTATTTAGCGATGATCGAAAATGCTAAGTGAGTTATGATTATCTTTTCTTTTATCTTGTTTCACTTACATAATTTTTATCAGTCATTGGGCTGACATGAAAAACCAATCGAACATTCTGTTTTTTCCAGATCTGAAAAGAAATCGAAGCCTCAAGATTTTTTGCGTTTGTACGATTCTGTGATTGAGGTGTACCGAGAGGTTTCTTTAGCATTCCGTTCATCTCTGTATGTAATGTCTGTCTGTGTCTGTGTTCTATCTACTGTTGCTTCAGCTCCTCCAGTTGTCCGGAATAGAACATGACAAAAATCTGACCGAAGCTGTTTCAGCGAAAATCGAGTACTATAGAGCATTCAGGTACTTCTTCAATTCATTCTAATTTTTGTGAAAGTACAGTTTATATATGCAGGTGTCATATGGCAACTGCGTATGCTGCGCTGTCAAGATTTGGAGAAGCCGCTGCTTTATTTGAAAGAGGTTTGAGACGCACTGAGGATGCAAAGACTGAGAATTATCTCAAACTTAACTACACAAATTTCAAACTCTTAGTTTTAGGTCACTTGCTAGCTTATGAGAACTCGACTACGGGAGCTCGACGAAGCTCCTCCGCTTGCCGTGCTTCCCATATACTCGCAGTTGCCTAGTGATCTGCAGGTAAGTCAGTATCAGTTTTCCTCGATCGAGTTTGCACTGTTTGTGTAGTTTGTATTCTGCTGAGAGGATTCCTGATTTTGCTTTGTGCTGAATTTGAAGAAGAATTGGCTACAGTTGTTTTGCATTTAGGCGAAAATATTTCATCGTGCACCAGGAGGAATGCGAAAATGCATAGTTGCCACCAATATCGCTGAGATCTCTTTGACCGTAGATGGAATTTTGTTCGTCATAGACCCAGGTTTCTGCAAAATGAAAGTGTACAATCCGTTTTGCAAGCCTCTGCCAACCAGAGGTCGGGTCGTGACGGTCGTACGGTACCTGGTCAGTGCTTCCGTTTGTACACGAAATGGCGGTTTAAAGAGGAAATGCTTGTTAGTGTTTACTGTGTCTAACTTGGTAACCGCTCAGCTATCTGGCATCGAGTGTTTCATGGAATAACAGCTAGTTTGAATAATTTGTTAAGGTGCGGGAAGTGCGTGCGCAATTGAAAGAGATTATGCAAGACCAAAAGATCAAAATCATTTTTACAGGAAGCGACTGGGATGTGACTCGAAAGTGTATCTGCTCAGCTTATTTACATAAGCTGGAAGGTAAGTTGGTGGTGTCATGCCTTCAGCATATACAAACGCTATATATCATTGTTCTTATCTGTTGCTTTTGTGAAAATCTACAATTTTTATGGTTCGCTTCATTCGGAATATTTTTCAGCCATATGAAAAACCAATGTGATTGTTTCTATTTTTAGGCTGAAGGGAATCGGCGAGTATGTGAACGTTCGAACTGACATCCCATGTTTCTTACATACGACGTTCGCTCTCTTCGGGATGGGTTTCATGCCCGATTATGTGGTAGGTTTCCCACTTCGAAATTTTTTCTTTTTATCCGCGTGACTCATTGACTACTAACTGAACAGTAATTGTTTGTTGTTCATAGGTAGGCTTTGTTTAGATGCATCAGTTACAAAAGTGCTTAGGTATAGTCCATATTTACTTTAGGTCTACCACGAACTCATCATAACAGCGAAGAAATACATGCAATGCGTTACTGCTGTAGATGCCGTTTGGTTAGCAAAACTTGGCCCCATGTTCTACTCAGTAAAGGTGAACTTTTGTGAGGTTGTATCATTTGCAGCGTGAAGTGAAGGATTCTAGAAGTCGAAAACTTCTCGATCTGAAAAACGAATGGAAAGTGTAAGAACAGTTGACAGTATGGAAGAAGAGATGAGAAAAGCTCAAAAGGAAATGCAGCGGCGAAAAGAGGAGTCGGAGAGGGCATTGAAACGACCAGAAAGCGTGCGGATAGTTGATGTTGGCCGCTCTCTTCGCAGTAAACATTGGAGAATGTTAGAGCGCGATTTCTTGTAATTGTCAAGTGGTGATCCTGTCAGATCTGCTAGTTTGCCATTCACTGTCTACACTCTACCTCTTGAAATTATCCTTTGCTGAAAGCGTTTTGAAGAAAAGTTGATGAATTATAATTGTTACAAATACAATCAATCATTTACGATCATACAGCTCACAGGTACGGTACAAAAAAAATCTATACAGTTCGATCTTTGAAGCAGATAAGAACAACACTTCCTACAACCATGAACCATATGTGAAACGAACTATTCACCAAAGAAAAAGTTCACTAATATGATAATGCACATTTGATGAATCACAAATTCTGTTTACTGATTTTTTGTTGATCAAAACACACAGAGGTAATCGATACATCATTCAATACATACCCGCATTCACCATTGGTGAGAAGAATCTGATTAAAATTCAAGAAAAAAGGCAAGACATCGTAGTACATACAAAAAGCAGAAAACTCTTGTGCCGGACTATTCTTAGACTGGAAAATTGCTGTTGTCAGCTGCACCGGAACTGCTCGAATTTGATAGAAAACTCTTCTGCCAGAGCAGGATTTCGCGCGTCAAGCTTTCGCATGTTTGAAGACAATAAATGACCTAAACTCGCAGATCAATTTTGATAGTACTAGTATAAACAGCTCACCCATTGACTCAAACGAGTCCGGGGTGTCAAAGTTATCCTTGAAGACCGTTGCGAACTGTTCAATAGCTAGAACACAGTAATACTCAAACTTTCGTTGATCTTAATAAGCACTTACCACTAATTTTTTGCTGCTTTTTACTGGATTTCTTCGTTTTTCAGGTGGCGGTGCAGTTTGCACAGATATTACTTGCGAGTGTGTTTGCCCAGGACCGGTATCGAGTCCCTGCGACTGCGTTTGCAAGAACCAGTCTCGCTTTGCTGAAACAATGAAATCTAATTTAAGAGAAATTACCAAAATCACTTTCACCATATCGAAAGCCTCCGCTGCTGTTATATCGCTGATCTCTTCGACATCGAGCAAGGAATTATTGTCATTGTGAATCGTCTCGACATTACAGTAACGTTCTCTCAAAAGATGCATAGTAAACTAGCGTTGAACAGCATCTTGAATAAAAGCATATGCTTACCCTTCATCATTAACAGGATCCAAAAACACGAAACTGTTGTAAAAAGGCCATGCTCTAAAGCGCTCCAAGGCGCCGGCCTGCAATCCGCTATTGCGTCTTACGGCATCTTGGTATGCCCGCCTCTTGCGCACATAGACATCGCGTAAATTTTTGAACGTCCTTTGGAGTACATCCACTGCAAAAAAAATAGCTTTAAGAAACCGCTATGAAATGTAATTTGAACTCGATCACAATAAAATGAGAATGACTTAGTAGGGTAAAATCTATTGAGAACACCATTTCGCTTACCATCAAAAGTCCTCTTGAATGTTACTTCCATATCTTTGGCTACTTCCCTCCAAGCTTTTGCTCTGGAATGAAAGCTTTTGTATTGGACATCCTCCTCATTCCAAAGGGAGGTATGCTGCTGTACTAGTTCAATCAGGTTTTGTTTCTCAGCATCGGTCATGCGCTGTCGTATGATCTTTCATCTGCCAAGAAAAGAATAGCAACATTACGATTTAGAAAAAAAAAGTACCGCAGTCAATAATACAATAAAACAGACAGATATGAGCACAGCCCAGGCGTATCCAGTTTTATCAGCGATCTTATGCACAAATTACAATCGCGGTCAAAAAAAAAACAAAATCAGAAACAATCAAAATCAAAAATCAAAATCACAAATCACAAAAAAACACAATCATTTCAAAAAGAAATCTTTGATCATTACAGCTATGAAAAAGCTATTTAGAGCAACATTAGTGAAACAACATCAATATATACGAAAGACAAGATATCAAATAGTTTGGGGACAAGGACACAGAACTGATTTAAAGTAATATCTAGAAACAGAAAATGATCGGCATTATTCGTTGAAAATGATTTGACTTACATCAAAGACATACACTTCTCTTTTTCCTTCCTTACAACAACGTTAATCTGCCAAATATCTTCACTCACTAAAGGCGACGATATTTGATCTGCATGCCCCATGTACAGTTCTAAAAAGTTCCGAGAAATTTGATTGCTCTTATTCGAAACTACCGTCACCTACCGACTCATAATCTATCCCTATCAGCAAAAAATTACGTTAAATGATTGCGCTGTATTTTCGCATCACTGTTGGTTTGACGATTTTGACGAGAACGTCAAATCATCATAAGCGGGCTGACTCGAATCCCTTCTCAGAATCCTGTCCCCATTCCTTTTTGTTAACAGATTATGAAGAACCTAAACTTTCATTTGAATTTCACTTGTGTACGTTTCGCGCACACTTACGCATGCAGTCATTATTATTCTTTTCATATTTTCAGGGGTTCCGCACAACGGACCCTGAAATATTCGGAACCTCGAGGTGATTATTCCAAACACACTTTCCACCACCCGCCGGGCGCTAAAATAAGAAACACATTTGATAGGAGATATCTTTGAGATCTCTACTTACGCATTGAAGCACTCAATAAAATGGCTTTTTCGAGCGTCCCTAAATGCTTCAGCCTGTTGATAGGTCTTTGCATCCAAGGCAGATGGGGGAATCCCATCTGCCTTGGATGCAAAGATGTGATACTCAACAAGTCCGTCCTCAAAGAGGGGGGCGGGTGGTGGAAAAAATCTCCTGGATGACTCCAAAGAATCTTTTAGTGGCGATGTCCGAAACAAACCTAAAGGACTCATAAGAGGGATTGATTTAACCGCAACTACAAGTATTACCCGAACCCGATATTCTGCTCTTGCCGCCACAGTCCATAAGTTGAATTTTGTAATGATTATCCACTACCAAAAGTAGGACTATTGAAAACGTGCCCTTATAATTGTAAAAAGCACTACCACTATTTTTCGGCGCCTAAATATGTGAGTTTTCTTGAAGAGAGATGCTTGTAGAAAAAATACATGAACGCACAATGCATATGAAGTGCTTCCCGTCTATTGCCGCTACCCCTCTGGGGTAATTCCAAAGTCTTTGAAAGCCTTCTGCGCTTTCAGCCCATGTTTGGCTTGTTGGAACGGGGAAGACTTCATGCCAAAATTCTTCAAGTTCTTTATAAAACTCAGTTGACATTATATAAGATTTCGCGTACCCGACCCGACGTTATAGCTTCACAAACTTCATAAACAATGGAAGCTACAGTGGATTTGCCTAATCGAAACTCCTGTGCCAAAGTGTGGAAACTACGGCCATGGCCCAAATACCTTTGAAACTTTCATTTTTTTCCTAATCAGCACTCAACAAACCTCATACAAATGGCCAATCTGTATAAAGGCGCTATTGGATATTTGTGAGTTTTGGAACGCTTGAGTCTGTGCTCAATACGAATAAACACCTCCCGAAACTCAGAAAAATTTAGTCTTGTAAATTCTCGAAAAGCGTCCTCGTTGCCATCAGCGATATATCCATTCAGTAGATCGAATCGGATGTTAACTTGAGATAGATGCGTCGTATTCATGTATTTACGTTCTCGTTCGAGAGTACCCAACATGGCAGCTGTTAAAAGCACATGGCGACAAAGTCTTGATCTGAAGTACATTCTTCATATATTGCTTCACAATTTGCCAGATCTACCGGCAATGTTTGCAAAGCCGGTTTCCTACGGTTTTTGTCACTACCAACAGAGCTCGTAATGTTTTGCTATCCTGAATAAGATTGTCCATAAGCTTGAAAAGACTTATGATAGTTGGTTGTTGTTGTTGTTGTTGATAATTAGAGGCAATCAAAGGCACACATAATGATTTGCAACCCATAATCTGTTCGCGTTCAAATAGCCCGTTTGCAAGTGTATGCGTGCTTGCAATGGAAGCTTTAAATAAAAACAGTCTGGAGGTTTTAAATAATCTGGTCCGTTTTCTAATTCGAGTGATTCTTTGGAAAAAAGTGGAATTGATGTGGAATTTTGATGTGCCGGTGGTGAATAGTACACCAGTATTTCATACTTGTGTTAGGGAATGATGAGACACCCTTTTGGACAAACACATAAAATCAAATCATAAGAAAATTACACCAATTTTGAATTCCATGTGTCAGAAAAACGTGGCATAATAAGTTGAAAAAGTTTCTGCACATTTTTGTCGGTTTCTCGCAATAGGATCTATATCTTTGTAGAGGGGAGGGGGAATGGAGATGTTCGCACAAGAGAATATATTTTGAGCAATTACCACCTATAAGTTACCACAGGGTATAGAGCCATCTAAGAATGGTTTGTCAAAAAAAATGTATCATTCAACCTTCGCTATCCAAGCTTTCCTTTTGGGGTTCTCCTAATTCCGTGGTCCTTATGCACGTGCATAAGGACATAAGGTAGATTGTTTGACAAAATGCGCAAATAGTTATAAGTCCTACAATCCAACCTTAGAAGAAAGTTCATTGGTCATATTGTCAGCAAGATTCTATTGATTACGAATGGCAGGAAAATTAACTAAACAAAACTGACATCCAAAAAGTCAGCAGTGAGAAAAGAATGGCTAAAGTTTTTGCACACTATAAAATGCAAAGGCAGTAGGACAGGAGGACAGGAGGACATGGCACAGCCTGTGCCATGTCATTTCAGCTGCGACTTATGCAATTTCCATTGTGCTAGCGCCTGATCTGCGAGGTTTTCATGGCGTGCAAGTATTAGTTCTGCGCGTTCTTTCGACTTGCCACTACCACTTCTACTCAGTCATCAAACGTTAGCACAATTTGAGCAATATCTGAGACAGAAATATCGCTAAAAACTGCAAAAATAACATTGCTTGACAAGAATATGCTATCTTGTTGAAGTGGATGAGCAGGTTCTAAAGAAACCATCAATTCAGAAAAGTTTTTGCATTAATAAACCACCATTAAATTAAATAAGTAAATAAATAAAATTAAATAAAATATAAATAAATACAATAAAAGTATACGTTACGTTATAAAGTAAGGACATAAACTAATAACTAATACGTATCCCACCAAACGAAAGAGAGAAAATGACCAGAAATCCTTGAAAACTGACACAATCTTACAAGTCGTGAAGTAGCGCGCTGTATGCAATAAGACGCGTGGGACCTTGCTCTTGGCGGCATGAAGTCCTCTACTCCGCAAGCAAGCTCAGGCCACTGCATACAGATGAATCTCTCAATTAGGATCGTCCCGGAAGGTGTGCAAAAGATTGCGCTGTAGTGATTTGCGTTGTATCCGAGCGCAAAAAGCACTATCATGGCGACCAAAAGAGGATGAATTGAGCAGGATTGCGATGACTTGCCGTAGCAGATCGCAAACTATAAACCATGGAAATGCGTATCATAATGCCAATGTTGTTCTGATCACGGTTTAGACTTCCTGCATACTGTACAATTTATGCCAAATGAAAGCGGCTGCCAATGTATGAGAGCACGAGAATTATCTTGCTTTCGCGCAAAGCCTATAGATGATGCTCTATGCAATTAGAAGTGGTGGAGGCTCGTGGGATCATGTTCTGCGCGACCGCCTCGCATGCCTGCACCTCTTTCAAGCGTGCTTCCCACGCTCAATTAGCAGTTGAAGCGTGGCCTTTTCCCGCTTAGGGTGGGAAGACGACCAGGGAGCACGCCCGCAAAAGAGAGCAGAGCCTAAGCGAAGCGGTTGCGGTAGACTCCAACCGTACGAGCAACCACCACTCTTGATGACACACACGGTACGAACGTATATACGTAACATATATACTTTAGGATAGGACAGATATAGGATAGATATAAGACAGATATAGGACAGTGTATACGTTAAATACATTCCATAAGCAAACAAATTTAAAGGCAGTGTCCAGGCAAATCCGGAGATATGGGGTTCTGTTGTGGAAATTAGTTTTGGGGCCCTATTAAGACACTGCCCAAGCGGCAGCTCAAATGGTGAACTCACAATTGAGATATCCGCCTCCAAACTGCACCCCGGGACCGTATTCGCACGGATTCATGGCACACACGTAGGTCCCTGCACGAAACTGATGTGTCGCGCCATGAATACGTGCGAATACGGTCCCGGGGTGCAGTTTGGAGGCGGATATCTCAATTGTGAGTTCACCATTTGAGCGGCCGCTTGGGCAGTGTCTTAATATTTATTTATTTATTTACTTAATACATTACTATAATGTAATGTGCTAGATAGTATAATCGCTAATATAGAAATGAGCATAATACACACGAAGAAATATGTACAGATGATTTGCTTTCAGTTTCACATCGTTAAATCTTCTGCTTGAGAAGAAAAACTAGGTTAAGAAGTTTATTATAGTGAATCAGTTCGAAAAGGTGGTATGTTAGTGCGAAGTTATCTGCGCAAAAAGATTCTTCCAAACATTATCAAAAGCTTCGATCGCACGCATGAAGAGTAGGTAGTAGGATGTATGCCCAAAATAACGGAGCATGATGGGATACCCTAGTGCGAGTAACAGATCACTTTCGAGTGGCACGCTTTGGTGATAGTACCTAAGCGATATGACAAATTCACTCGTACCTAGGCGTTCATTACACTACCAA